CCAATTATTTTTGAGTTGATGTTACTTAAGATGAATCAATGTAGACCAGACCTGTGGCCCAGTGCTTAAGGGAACTGGATCCCACATGACCAACCATGGTTTGAATCCCAGCCCTGGCACATTGAAAAGCACATCAAGTGCATGTGCACGTGTGCCCAAAATCCCATCAGTAGAGCTAAACAAAGACGTCCTGACCATACCCATTGGGAGTGCTTTCTCCCTCTTCCTCTTTTTGAGCGTAAAAACCCTATGGCAATCAAAAGAGACAAAAATAAATTAATGCAAGACTATCTACAGGTGTAAGAAGGTAGCCATTGTTTCCATTCCTGGATCCTGCATTTTCTCCTAACAACTGAGCTATAGCTCTTTATCCTTTCTCAGCCAAACTTTCTAAATGTCTAAAAAAATGTGCCTATATTCATACTCTCTATCCTTACCTCCTATTCAGACTTGCCAGCTTTTATCCCCACAACTCCTCTAACTTCTCTTTCCAAGATTAATTATGACTTATTGATTCTCTTCCTGTCTCTCTGACCATTTCTTCAGGTCTCATTCACCAGCTCCTCTTCCTCTGTCCTGTCTCTGGTTTTGGTATTCCCTAAGCTCTATCCTCAGCTCTGCTTTCATTCCATAAACCCTCTTTAGATGGTTACCCTACAGCATCAACCATCATCCCAGATCTTTCTATTAGTGGAGTCTACCTTTTGGAGCTTTAATACATCATGGTCTACTCAGTACTCCCACCCGGATATTCACATACTCAAAATGGCACTACTATACTTCCAGTTCAGTAACACACACAAGCATCATCCTGAGGTCCTCTCCTCTATTTTAACCACTCACCTTAAAATCATTCCGCAAAAGATTGGATCCACCCCAATCTCCTCTCTTGTCCTCATTGCAATTGCCTTAACTTACTTCTGTGTCATTTCTCCCTGCCTATTGTAAAAGTAGCCTCAGTACTAACTTTTCTATCATGTTCCCATTCTCTACCCTCTCATTCCCTAATCCACCCTCCACATCACTGTCAGTGGGGGGCTCTCCAACACAAACATGTGCATGTATGTGCACACAGACAAGTGTGAACACACACACACACACACACACACACACACACACACACACGGGTTCCCCATGTGATACAGGATGAAGCCTCATCTCTTTTACACAGAATCCAGAAACTTCAGGTGTTCTTTGCCTTTGAGTTCCACTTCATCTGCTGTTCCTTCCTCAACCCCAGAAGTAGTTCCTCAAACGTGTTGTGCTCAGATTCTCCTGCACCCTCCCTGTCACACAAGCTTCAGAACTTTCTCAATAGTCAAGCACTTCTCTTCTAAGAAGCCTCTTTTACTTCCCAGGAAAATAGGACATAACATTTCTGTCCCACAGTGACTTACAGATTTCACATCATAATGGTTGATTGACTGCTTACATGTCTGTCCTCCCCACTGTGCATTCCTTTTCATCCTTGAGTCTTCAGTGCCAAGCACAAAGTCTGACATTAAGAAAGATTTCCTAATTACTAGTTGAGTAAATTAAAAAATAGATGAAAACTAGATCCTCTGTGAATATAATGACAAGAGCTGCCTATTGATTACTGGGTTAGACACCAAATTAAAAGTAATATAGATGTAGAGGTTTGTAAAGATAAACTTCTCACTTGACAGTGCAAATCAAGTTATTTTATTTTTTCATTTTGTGTTATAATAAAGTTTGACTCTATCCACCTATAAAACATAGGTAGTTCTTTAAGAAATATTTCATGGGGGGACCAGCAGTTGGCGTAATGGCAATGTCGCTGGACTCCCATGTAGTCGACCGCAGTTCACGTCCCGGACCCAGTGGCTTAAACTCAGGCCAGGCATGTGTGCATGCATGCCCAAGATCCTGAGAGGAGAATAGAGGAGAAGGGATTGCGGCATGGCCATCCCCCCTGGGGGGTGATTTCTCGCTTTCTGTCTCTTTGTCTCTCTCTGTCTTTCTAGCGAGTGCACACATCCTATAGCAAAAAAACTCAAAAAAAGGAAATATTTCCTAGGAACATTCTGATTCCTTGGGATAGGGGGAAGCAAGAGATACAAACCGATTGGTAAGTTGAGCTTTTTATTTAACAGTCACATACTGTGTTCTAATGGAGAAGCAACCCCGTTTCAGGGATCACCCTTTTCCTTGTGTATTTTCTAGTTTTTTATTGTAATTAGGACAATAGATTTAATATTTCTATATAAACAAGTCTAGCCTTCCCAAGTAGGTAGGAAATCTCTATCTTTTTTATGTGCTACCTAATGAACCAAGCTACAGTGAAGCATTATGCTGAAACCTTATTAAATTATGCTGGTCAGTGAATCTAAAAATAAAAGCCTGAGTTGGATACTCTGAACACTCTTGTTTTCAGCTGGGCAGAAGATCACGAGCTTACAAAAGAGCTGTCTGGATAGACTGTGGCATTCATGCAAGAGAATGGATTGGTCCTGCCTTTTGTCAATGGTTTGTAAAAGAAGTAAGTTAATCCCTTCACACGATGTCCATTTCAGCCAGTGGGTGCTTCTGCATGTTTCTATTCTGCTCAAGGAACAAAGTAGTAATTAGAAGCCAGTGATATCTGATTGCATAATAATAGCACTTTGATTTTGTGAGCTGCTTTTATGTTTATGAAGACTTCTCAGAACCTTGGTTTAGTTTATCCCTGTTTTTACCCTTGGATGTTGGAGTTACCAACTCTCATTAAAAAGGAAATGCCTCAGAGAATTTATTTTATTTATTCTTCTTTTTTTCATTCATTTATTTAAATTTGGCCAGAGAAACACGGGGGTGGGGGGGGTGGGGGTTGGTGAAAGTAAGCCACCAGGTCAGGGAATTGAACTGTGGTCAGCCATGTGGGAATGTCCAACGCTTTAGCCATCACGCCACCTGCTGGTCAGAGCATATATGACTTTGCGACCAATTAGGAACAAACCATGGCAGTGGGCACATAGCAAAATACTAAAAAATCAATTTGTGATGTTCCAGAGCAACTTCTTATATGATATTCCTCTCAGAAAATCCTACCTCATTCATCTCCCCCCTCAAAATGATTCCATATATTCTATAACGATAAAGAGGCAAACAGTGATTATATTGTGCCCTCCTGCTGTAGGTCTATAATTCAGGTACCAAAAGGCTTTCACATCCATGGCTTTAATATTCTCCGTTTAATACTCTCAGTTATTTCTCAGGCACTGTAATAACAGATGACTCAGTGATTTCTCATTTTCCAAATGCTTCATTTGAATCATGAGTTCACTGAGCTAGTATACTGAGTGGATCTCTGTGCCAAGATTGTGCCAATGCCTTAGTTTCCCATTTGTTGTCAAGAATCTAGTAACTTTGACAGATTCGTGTTTTAATCCTTACTTTTAGTTTTGGAAGAAAAACAAAACTTGAAACTCACCACTAGTATTCATGATAAAAGTAAAGGAATCTAAGGAAATGAAGGCTCTTAGCCAGAAAATAATCCTACAAATTTCTTTAGACCTGCACTTACAGGAAACCATCAAGATTACAAAAAACATGTAAATGTATTTCAGTTAAACTTCTGTTTTTTATGTAGCAACCATGTGCTATAGTGGGATTTGTGACTTGGAAGCCTCTCCTAGGTCTTGGGAAACTTATCTCACAGATGTCAACAATGCACTAAATTTATAAAATCTCTCTGCCACTATCAAATTCCCAGGAGTATCATTAATTTAATAAATAATGATGTAATAACATTTTCTAACTACTTGTACTCAGTTGTGTAGTTCACATTCTTTTAAAATATCATTTTATCCTATAGGATAAATGCAAAAGTAATAAGAAATTTATGATCCTATTACTTAGTGCCAAATACCCAGTCTATCCATGGCAATATACTGTCCACTGTTTCAAGTTTTGAAAAAGGACAGAAAGAAGGGGCCAGCCAATGGCGTAATGGATATGTCGCTGGACTCCCATGTTGTCGACCATGGTTCAAGTCCCGGTGGCTTAAACTCATGTCGGATGCTTGTGTGTGCGTGCCCAAGATCCCAAAAGGAGAATGGAGGAAAAGGGATTGTGGTGTGGCCATACCCCCTGGGGGGTGATTTCTCACTTTCTTCTCTGTCTCTCTCTAACTTTCTGATGATAGCAAAACCTCTCCAAAACAAAAAAAAGTTGTTATATATAGAACAACTATTATTTATAAGTAATAGTTGTAGAAGAACATAAGACTATATCTCCCAAACGTGACAGCTCAAGTTTGACCTCCCCCCAACAACACGTTCAACCTCTTCTTTCTAATACCAAAACATACCTTATTTACGTGGTTACCATCAGTCTTATTCCTACACCAACTCCAAGGGCATACACTGTCTGTCTTGTTCACTACCAAACCCCCAGCACATAGAACAACACCTGGCAAATATTTCATTAGATATTGAAATATTTATTAGTAAACAGGAATGATGAGAATCTAGTGGTAATGATGTAGAGATTTCTGGGAAGCAACTTGTCAAATGATCTTGTAAGATAGAATCCATACCACCTGGAATCTTGCAGAGCTCAACCTGTAAGCCATACACAGCAGTCTTGTAACTTGAGCTAAATTTCCAAGGACGAGTCAGACATAGGAAAAGGAAAAGGAAGACATATATGATGACTGTCAGCTGAGAGAGTTGATTCTGGGGCAAGACAAGACACATCAGTTAAGATTAGGCTTTGTTTCCACAGAGATGTGTGAAGATGGCTTCTCCTTTCTCCCTCCTGCAGTGAGCTGTCTTCACTGAGCAGAGTCAGAACCCACCTGTGCCTCTGCTCCCTCACTACCCATCTTTTGTGTTTTGTGGTCATGGATGACACTTGCTCCTCCACTTTAACCACTTATATTTCCCACTTGAGTCAGGTCAGCAATTAGAAATGGACAAAAGGAGGCCTCAATGTGTATGGTAGGAGTGGGACTGTCTAGGTGTGATAGCCTTATGGTGGAAGAGACAGGAACAGGTTGATATTTACATATTAGGGGCTGGACAGTGGTGCAGCAGTAAAACACAATGCTCTGCAAGGCTAACCCACATGGCAAGGCTGCAGGTTCACCCTAGGAGACTTCTCTAAATGAACCAGGAATGTGTGTGCCCATGATCCAGGGTTGGCTAAGGCTGAGGGTGGATTGTGGCATCAGAATCCTGTTAGGGATGCTGTCTGTCTCTTTCTCTCTTTCTCCCTCCTGGGAGAAATAAATGAACATATTTTAATAAAAATATTTCTATATTACATGCTTGTAAAAAAAGTTTTTATATTATTTTGAAACTCCCATTCCCATTAATGATGCTATTAGGGGTGAGGGAATTGGAGTGTCAAAGATTTAAATAACCTTAAAGCTGGCAGGCAGAATACATTGTTTCTTTCATACAAAGTCAGTTTCTTTGTTAAATCTTCAGTCTTCCAAGAGTGGCTGATCCAAGAAGGGCTCTAGGCACTATTTCTTTCAAAGGATCACTTGACCTCTTGCCACAGAGTCCCATAACTGGCTTCCAAGATCTCAGACAATCTAGTTTTTATGTCCCCCCAAGACATCAGGGAATCTCTGTCTCCTAGGCCCCCAGGGATGTCATGTCTAGGCCTCTTTCACTGACAGGTCATTTGTCCCTGCAGCATTTGCCCCCTTATTGGCACATCAGAATCATGTGAAGTGATGTCCTCCCAGAGAGACTTACGGTAGGCGGGACAGAGGTTCCCTTTTTTTACATTTTTAACCCAAATTTGTCAGTGATTTCTACCAGCTCTTAACTTTCCTGGAATTTCAGTCCCAAGAGAAGAAGGTGACATCAAAAGCCAAAAGTCTAGCTTCCTACCATTGCTTTCTCTCTTCTTGGGTAATTTTCCCCAAAACTCAACAGCTTCATATGACCCACATTTATTATCTGTTTCTGGGGGTCAGGCACAGCTTAGCTGGGTGCCTCTGGCTCAGGGTCTGAGATTTACACAAGGCTATAGTCAAGGTGTTAGCTGCAGCCCCAGTGAAACCACATATCTGATAAAGGACTCATATTTAGAAAAGACAAATTCAAAAGTAAACCATCCAATTAGAAAATAATCCAATAAGAAAATGGCCTAAGGATATAAAAAGTCATTTAATTAAAGAATACAGATGGCAGATGAGCAAAAGCGAAAAGATGTCATTAGGAAAATTTTAATTAAAGCCGTTAAAGGTATAAAGTGAGCTATCACTATGCACCTATCAGAGTGGCTAAAATTAACCAAATATATTAATATGAACATAGATGGACCTAAAGGTAGGCTATACATATATAAATGTATATCATCAAATGCCAAAGAGGACACAGGAAATGGATCATGTGTGCTGTACAGGTGGGAATGTCAACTAGTGGAGCTACTCTTGAGAACAGGTGGCAGGCTATTTTGAAATTAGACATGCAACTACCATATGACCCAGTAATTGTACTCTTGGCATTTATCCCAGAGAAATGAAAACTTATGTTCACTAAAAACTTATACACAAATGTTTATAGCAACTTTATTTATAATAGCCAAAAACTGGAAACAACTCAAATATCCTTCAACAGGCAAATGGTTAAACAAACTGTAATACGTACATCCATACCATGGAAAACTACTCAACAATAAAAAGGAAGAAACTATTAATATACAAAACAACTTGGATGAATCTCCAGAGAATTGTACTGAATGAAAAAGCCAATTCCGAATAGACCCATGCTATATTATGTCATTTATATATTCTTGAAATGACAAAATTATAAAAATAGGGAACAGATTAGTTGTTACTCAGGGGTAAGAAAGAGGTGGAGGTGGAAGGAGAGTGGAAGTGGCTATACAAGGGCAACATGAGGGAGCCCTGTGAGATGGAAACTCTGCTGGATTCTTATGGACTCAAAGAATGAAATACTCTTTGATGAGGAGTGAAAGAAATTGAGCAAGTAGACAAAAATGAATACCTGTTTCATAAGCCTAATTTGGGCAGTTGAAATCCAGTTGTAAATTCCAGTGATTTTTCCCACTGTACTGAAGTTGATTCTAAGTACTTTTCTTGTCTGTATAAGATAATCTGATTTTTTTAAAAAATAAACTCTATACATTGTCATTATTTTTTAGAATTATTTAATTTTTATTAATTCATTTATTTAAAAAAAAAAAACTTGACCAGAGAGAGAGATACAGAGAGAGAGGAAAAGTGAAAATACAAGCCACCAGGTCTAGGACTCAAACCATGATCAACCATGTGGGAGTGTCCAGCACGTTAACCACCACACCACCTGCAGGCCCCCTATATAACATCTGATAAGAAGAGATGGGAAAAGGATCAAAGATTAACAGCTTGTCATTGAACTCTTGCCACAAATTCAAGGACAGTAACATTGGTATATAGATTAGCCAAGTAATTTGCAGTGGCAGACCATTTTCACATTTTTTTTTGTTTTTATTTGTGGAAAGGCTACTTTAATTCTTCATTGCCAGTGCAGATGGAAT